AGTATCCAATTTTCATTCTATTATCTGTCAAGTGGTCGCTTACGAGAGGTTAAAAACTAAAGGAATTTTCAAACTTTTAGCTCTAAAAGTGGTCGCGGTCGCTTACGAGAGGTGGTCGCTTACAAGAGACTGCAAATATAGTGATTTGACTTGGAAACTTTTGGTATTTTGGAAAACTGGTTGCTGAGGAGAGGTGGTCGCAACCGGAGGTTCGACTGTACTCAGAATTGTTAATTGTTTTTGCCTTCTAGAATTAACGTTATATGGAGAGATTATAAACGAGGAAACGTTGCTTCCGGAAGAAAATTGTTCCAAGCGTCACATGTTTCGGGACAACATTTTAAAAATCCGCTTATAAGTATATTTACTTAGGATACGAAAGTCAGAGCCTCCCGAGACACATGGACAACACATGGCATGAGAAAGGTTGATCGCTTGATACCACGCGAAATGTAGAGATGAAGGAAAAATTCCTCCGGCCTAGTTAAAGGGTTGAGGTAGTTGATCATGCCGGCCCAGGGGTGGGGGTGAGGGGGCGGGGGACAAACACTTATCCCTTCCCTTCCTACCGATGAAGTCTTACTTTTAACGTTCCAGAGTAAAATGTAATTTCTGATGATTGAGGGACGAATTAGTCAGAAATTATCTTTCTGACGACACGATAGCTTATTGGATAAGGTTCTTGTGATATCCAGAACAATCAAGGTCGAGGTAGGGGTTATCAGCCGAAGCCGAAGGCTGAGGCTGATAACCCTTACCGAGACCTTGATTACTCTGGATATCACAAAAACCGAATCTAACAATTGTTTTATTATACATTGAACGAAAAAATTGGAAGTCACGTTTTAGCTTTTTGACTGACGGCAAGCAACACAAAGCGCGCGAACTTGACATGAGTACCCGTGACCTTGAGTGTTCTTAACATGGTTATTTTATGATCTGCAGAGATGACGTCACAGGCGCTGATTTCGAAATTTCACTGTACGCTTTTGACCAATCAGAAAAGAGATAGTGAGTTCAATGTATAATATTAGTTGTAATTTGCAAGGATACAGATTATGTGTTAAGACTGAATACATCTATATCAGATGACTGACTGACGCATCCTCAATAAACTATTCACATTGAATGTCGCGTGTTAGTGTAGTCAGAATTCCAGAGTAAGTAATGACCAAAGAGTTGCTAGAGTAAAGACTCGCTACTTCGGAGGGATGTGATACTCAAAAAACGTTTAATAATTAATTGTTAAAAGTAAAAGACGGAAAGACCTGATCTTGGTCGCATTGTTACTTCTGGCAACAACGGGTTAGCAGTGTTTTTCCACAAGTAGCAAAACGATAATGTAAAACTAACACAATACAACAAAGAAAACGTTTTTTTTGGGTGAAGATAGGCTTCTGTGATTGTAATCTGCCTATTTATGTAAAACGACAATCAGTTTTTTTGAACTCCGAAAAAATACTTAGTTCGTGGCAAGTTAGGTGTTAAGGAGAACTTCTAGGTTGATTATTATATCACTCAGAAAATTACGTCACTGTGATTGGCCAATTTATCGTTAATTTTTAATTTGCACCTCAGTGAATATTGACGCGCGCGCGTTCGTAATTTTTTAAGCCAAATCGTATGAATGTTCGAGAGATTCATGAAGGATGAACACTATTCGTGATGTATTTGAAAATTCTTTAAAACTGCACTAGCCTAAACGCTCGTGCAATTTTGAGAGAATTTTCAAATGTCATTCCTAGTTGAAATTCTTAACTGCACTTCCATTCATGCATACGAACACCTGTAATAACTGGAACTAAAAAAAACTCAAGGCCGTAAAATTTGGCTCATTGTTCCAAATAAGGACAAGTGTTTATTATAAACCTTTTCCGCTTAATGTTTCTCAATTTTGAATAATTATGTTTCCCTGGAAAAACATTTCTTACTTCATTGCAGCCTTTTGAACAGTAATAAACTCAGAAAGAAAATCAGTGGAAACTATTTTAAGAAAAAACTTCTTCGGTTCGAAAAGCTGTGTTTTCATTTCATGACAGATGGCATTAAATTTTAAAATTCATTGCATGTGCGTATTTCTGCGAATAAATAATATATATGAATGCAAATTATCAGTTAACCAGGCCAGCTATATTTGTGTTCACGTCTGCCAATTTTCCTTTTTTTTTTCATACGTTGAGTTTTTTCGTCTATGGAAACGTCTCATATAACTGATAAATAAACGGAATTTCATCGTTTCATTTCAAAATTAACAGACCATATTTGAATATTGAAAATAATGCAGGCTGTAAACAGAATGATGGGTCACTCAAGATCTTGTCATATCGCCAATGTCGATTGATACCTCAACAATAAAATTTTACTTCACTGCCTTCTAGAGTAAATAGTATGATATGTAAATATTCTGGCAATAGTTTTAGATTTATTGCGATCAGCGTCGCTAGCTACCATTTCAGACTACACTAAAATAATTGTTGGTTTTCAATGGCGATTTTCTTTCATCAAAAAAATGAATGTTGCGGCGAGAAAAGATAAATCTTTAATGCACGTAACTGGCAAGAGGTTGAAAAACAACAAGCACGTTTCTATTTATAAAACGCATTATTCACAATCCCTCGATGATCGACGAGCATAAAAAAAACACAAATTCAAATTGTCTATCGGACGGTGTCAATCGATTTAGGGACTAAATGCACGGACGAAGAATATTCGCGTATTTGTTTCTTCGGCTGTTGGTGAACCCCAGTTTTGAAAATCGCTTCCAGTTTTGGCTCCTTGATAATTTTTCTCGACTGATAATGTTCGAGGCAACGTGGCACAAAACATACAACATCTTTGTACAGCGTATATGGTCTTGCATTGTTCCTGGCAGGGTAGTGAACCACAACAGAGATGTGTTTTTTCTTCACCACTTTAGGGTAGAAAAATATCTCGCTGACGTAACTTTTCGTCGACGTAGTTCTGATAGTGTAGTGGTAGGAATAAACTTGTGTCGGCCCTAATGTGTACAAGCAAATTCCGTCCGAATATAGTTCGGGAACTAGCTTTACTTCATCATTTTTTACGTGGCTGGCTTGAGCATTTGATCTGTTTGACCGAGGCTGATAAAATCCACTTTTTTCCAACCTGTTTCTGTGCATTTTTTCTCCCCGGCTCGTCCAAATTTTTCGCCGATGAAACCACACTGAAGCCAAAAATGCAACTTTGCTTTAAAAGGAGAAATTGAAACGTAAATATCAATTCCAGGCGGGTAGCAGTTGCAAACGTCGAATTCGCAAATTTTCGATGTTTTATTTATTTTGGTCTTTAATGAAAGCGCTGTGTGTTGCCTTCACACGACGTGACGTCATCCGAATAGGACGAATTATCGATCGCTTTATGATAAACTTTCCAAGAATCACAAACAAATCTTATTTTTCTCGGTTTTTATTTGCCAATCGGTTGATTTAGGCTGTCAGGAAGGGATTAAACAACGTGTCAATCACACGAGGTTTTGCAAAAACAACACACCACAAACTGAATTGATTTAAAATGAATAAGGAAATCGAGGTCACGTGCCTAAATTGTGTCGAATGTAAGTGAAAACGCGCAGTTATGAATACTTTTTGTTTGATTTTTGTTTGAGGGCCACTGGTTTTTCAGTGATTACTGTTCTGTCTTACCCTCAATAAATAAAGTTGATTATTATTATTATTAAAAGAAAGGTGGAAGCGAAAGCGTACAGGATAGAGGCAGCTGCGGGCCGACTGAGGAGGCAGCTTGACCGAGTAGTTTGCGCGCAGGACTTGACATCCGGAAGTCGCGGGTCCAATCCCTGCTCTGACCACTTAACTGGAGTTGTTTCTCGGTTGACGCTAGTTCGACCCCTCGGTCATGCTCGTAGCTTGTAACTGGTCTGCCTAGCTCCCGTCAGTTGGGATTTTTAAGCTTATTACGGTATGTTTTAGTTGATATATCAGTTTCTTTCAGTTTAAGTGACATGCCTGTGAACTAGCTAAGTGTAGCTAAGCCCACTGACCACTACTTAATTAGACATTTGAAAACCACGAAACCGTTATCGCAAGCCAAGAAAGTGAAGGAATTGTTAGAATAAAACTTTACAAAGTTTGTGCTTTCACTGTTCTGCCTAATACTAATCCTGCCGGACACTAGTTTCTCTCGATCAGTACGTACATGTATGTAGTGGTTCCTCTCCGATCAATCAGATTGCGAGTTTGCTAATAGTTCATCATGATCAGTGGTAAGAACTCTCCTCCCCAGAGGATTGGAACATTTTTTGTCTATTTTGCATTAAACATAAATTCCTTTGAGCCCTACTGAGTAGGAGAGAGCAGAAAAACTAAGAAACTTGTGGAAACCCGCAGAGAAAATACTCGGGCCCGGTATTAAAATAAGAGTTAGGTAACGCGGTAAACTAGCCCAAAATCAATGCAAGTACACTGTCCATCACTTTCGACAGTGAATAAAGATCTATATAAGAAGAAAGGAACATAATAACTTGTTCTCAAATCCAGCTGGAGTGCTGGTAGAACCAAACACTTGTCAACCCTTGTGAATAGACATTGTAAACTGACAATAAATGTTCACTTGAAAATACAGCTCCTATCCTTCGTCCATCGCCCATGCTTTTAGTGTTACTCTTTCCTGAAAACTAGAGCTTTAAAGAATTTCCTTCCGCCTTTTATTTTCTTACTGTTCAAAAGCCAATTGTGGTGCGTGCAAAAAGAAAGCTGGGAAGGTCCAACAACCTAATAGCAGATCGTCCACACAATGGAAAACTATTGAATCGTTCGTTGTATTCGCTTTACAGAGTAAACATTCAGGTACAATACTACTTTTGTCTTTTGTGACACTCTTTAGTCTTCAATATATTATCCCTCTGCTCTTAAAACTCAATTCACTCTACATCTCTCACGATGAAAACATATTCACATATTTACACATTTTGAGGTCTGCAATAAAACAGCCTGAGCTATGTACAGTAGTTTGTCGTACAAACCAACGGGGAATAATAGTACAGTTTAAACAAATGGATGTTATGTTTGGTGTATGCTAATAAAGCTATTCTGAATCCGCGTTAATCCTTCTCGTTTGAATGCCGTTAAAATCCAAAAAATCGATCTCACGTTTTTCGCGAGCGAAATACGTTATTTATGTAACGTGAAAATCTAGCTGTCAAAGATTCCTTAATAGTCCTTCTCAATGAAAACAGAGAAGGGGTTTTTACACTGTGTAAATAACCTAAAAGTTATCTTTCGTGTGTGACCTTGTCACGTACGTAGTACTGAGTAAAAGATTAATTAACACGTCCTTAATTGTTTTCTCAAATTTTTGTTCATATGTTATGGAAAGATCTTTGACCGAAAATGTCAAGAAGTCGACGACAAATGTAAATAAATTATCAAGCTATCTGCTATACAGTTAGGTGTATTATCTGGCTTTGCACTCTCTTTGAGAGAAGCTTCCGCATTTCAGTCACAAAATCAAATACACTATAAATAGTTTTCGCTGAGTTGCTAGGCCACAAAAAGTTATCTACGCATAGAAGCTACTTTGAGGTTCTCCACCCGTCCTTTTGTGCAAAAAATCCATGTATCTTTTCCTTCTGTGTAATTTATAGATTTTTAACCGTTCCTCTTCCTCAGCTGGATCATCACACTTTGTAAAGTCCCATCTTAAAGTCTCGTTTATTCGAGTTAAAGTCGACGACGATGCAACGGCCAATGTGCTTGTGTTGACCGCGTTTTCTCGTGAACGCGTTTCGTTCGAAGAAGCTGAATTTGTACAACTTGTTGCGCCGAAGTTTTCTCCACTGCTGCTTGTGCTTCGGCCGTCCGAACTGCTTGTTCGCCAGCTACTTGAAGAAGGATTTTGTGTGCTTGAAGAGCAAGATTTCGAGTTGAAATCGCTTGCAACCTTTTTCTCGGTGTCTGCTCGTGACTTCGATCTTGACTTTCGACGGGTTCCTACGTCAACAGACTAAAGTCAGCTCAAGATGTTTCAAAAGGTTGTAAGTTTAGCGTTTGGCAAGTGCGAATCTCTTTCAAATAAGAACATTCAACTTAATGGCCTTTCTTTTCAGTGTAAGAATAAACAAACAGAATTAATCTAACAAACCTTCACTGGAGCTATCAGCGCCCGAAGCGGGCGTTTTACTGCCGGAATGTCGACTGTTTCTTCCCGACTCTTTTTTCTTCTTCTTCTTTGCTTTAGCAGGTCTCTCTGTTGGCGTCACAGACACCGATTTCTTAGTCTGTGTTGGCATTTTTGTACGCTTGATATGTCAGCCATTCGTCTCTACTCAAGGCGTCCATGGCAATGTATAAACACAAAAGCCTTTGTAATGTAAAATCGTGTTTTCTTAATAGGTCACAATGGTCATCCACGCGCGCGCGTTCACGTATTAGAAAACCCGAGGGACGGGACGAGATAAAATAATTATCTTTTGACCTTACTCTAAGCGATTTTCATGAATTAAGATAGTTTCGAACGGAACAGAGTGGAACAATTTTATGGTTGCATTAAAATGCACAGGAATATGTTTCCTTGCGAATAACTTGATCAGGAAAACTTCTTAACTGAACATATCAGTAACGGTTTCCACGGAAAATTTTAAACTTGCACCGGTCATGGTATCAATTGCGTGAATTTCGCAAACAAAAATCATGTTTGTGGTTACATCTTTTAATACCCTTCAACATGAGCTTTGAAGAAGGCAACTTATCAAAATCAGACCGTATAATCATTTATTATTAACAGTTGTTTTTCTTGACGTACCTCTCCAAAATTACCAATATCTTTCTTCGCCGGCAAAAAGCCTCAAGTAAGAGGGAAACTTGAGGTTTTCAGATAAACCCAAAAAGACCTTCGCTTCATTAAATTCTATTAAATTCTAATTCATTTTCCAACTGATTTCTCTTTTTATATAACTGTTCCCTTAAACTTATCACTACGTCACCGCGTGGTGTGAAGACACTAAAAGTGCGATCAGCTCTTGTCATATAAGCTAGAGACATTGTCTGACCTATCACCAAATTCTCCCATCTAACATTCATAAATGACTTGCACACATTAAAGAGAATTGATCAGTAATTCGAGCTCGGGACTGCAGTTAAGCATGCAGGTACGAAAACCCAAATCTACAAAATTCAAATTTATTATAGATGCGGAGATCATTGGACTCCCAAAGCCGCAGAAACAAGCTTTATGACGGAACGTTCGTTGTCTCTTTCCATGAAGTAAAAATGTCCTCCTGGCAGGACGTGTCTTTTAAAAGGTCCCTGGATGAGTTCTGTCCAGCCTGCGTGGGCAAGAAAGTGCCTAAGTAACACTCAATTTCTCCTTAGCATATATAATAGAGACACGTAGCCATGTTTATCAAAATCCGTGGTTCTAGAGAGTCNACGTCACTGTGATTGGCCAATTTATCGTTAATTTTTAATTTGCACCTCAGTGAATATTGACGCGCGCGCGTTCGTAATTTTTTAAGCCAAATCGTATGAATGTTCGAGAGATTCATGAAGGATGAACACTATTCGTGATGTATTTGAAAATTCTTTAAAACTGCACTAGCCTAAACGCTCGTGCAATTTTGAGAGAATTTTCAAATGTCATTCCTAGTTGAAATTCTTAACTGCACTTCCATTCATGCATACGAACACCTGTAATAACTGGGACTAAAAAAAACTCAAGGCCGTAAAATTTGGCTCATTGTTCCAAATAAGGACAAGTGTTTATTATAAACCTTTTCCGCTTAATGTTTCTCAATTTTGAATAATTATGTTTCCCTGGAAAAACATTTCTTACTTCATTGCAGCCTTTTGAACAGTAATAAACTCAGAAAGAAAATCAGTGGAAACTATTTTAAGAAAAAACTTCTTCGGTTCGAAAAGCTGTGTTTTCATTTCATGACAGATGGCATTAAATTTTAAAATTCATTGCATGTGCGTATTTCTGCGAATAAATAATATATATGAATGCAAATTATCAGTTAACCAGGCCAGCTATATTTGTGTTCACGTCTGCCAATTTTCCTTTTTTTTTTCATACGTTGAGTTTTTTCGTCTATGGAAACGTCTCATATAACTGATAAATAAACGGAATTTCATCGTTTCATTTCAAAATTAACAGACCATATTTGAATATTGAAAATAATGCAGGCTGTAAACAGAATGATGGGTCACTCAAGATCTTGTCATATCGCCAATGTCGATTGATACCTCAACAATAAAATTTTACTTCACTGCCTTCTAGAGTAAATAGTATGATATGTAAATATTCTGGCAATAGTTTTAGATTTATTGCGATCAGCGTCGCTAGCTACCATTTCAGACTACACTAAAATAATTGTTGGTTTTCAATGGCGATTTTCTTTCATCAAAAAAATGAATGTTGCGGCGAGAAAAGATAAATCTTTAATGCACGTAACTGGCAAGAGGTTGAAAAACAACAAGCACGTTTCTATTTATAAAACGCATTATTCACAATCCCTCGATGATCGACGAGCATAAAAAAAACACAAATTCAAATTGTCTATCGGACGGTGTCAATCGATTTAGGGACTAAATGCACGGACGAAGAATATTCGCGTATTTGTTTCTTCGGCTGTTGGTGAACCCCAGTTTTGAAAATCGCTTCCAGTTTTGGCTCCTTGATAATTTTTCTCGACTGATAATGTTCGAGGCAACGTGGCACAAAACATACAACATCTTTGTACAGCGTATATGGTCTTGCATTGTTCCTGGCAGGGTAGTGAACCACAACAGAGATGTGTTTTTTCTTCACCACTTTAGGGTAGAAAAATATCTCGCTGACGTAACTTTTCGTCGACGTAGTTCTGATAGTGTAGTGGTAGGAATAAACTTGTGTCGGCCCTAATGTGTACAAGCAAATTCCGTCCGAATATAGTTCGGGAACTAGCTTTACTTCATCATTTTTTACGTGGCTGGCTTGAGCATTTGATCTGTTTGACCGAGGCTGATAAAATCCACTTTTTTCCAACCTGTTTCTGTGCATTTTTTCTCCCCGGCTCGTCCAAATTTTTCGCCGATGAAACCACACTGAAGCCAAAAATGCAACTTTGCTTTAAAAGGAGAAATTGAAACGTAAATATCAATTCCAGGCGGGTAGCAGTTGCAAACGTCGAATTCGCAAATTTTCGATGTTTTATTTATTTTGGTCTTTAATGAAAGCGCTGTGTGTTGCCTTCACACGACGTGACGTCATCCGAATAGGACGAATTATCGATCGCTTTATGATAAACTTTCCAAGAATCACAAACAAATCTTATTTTTCTCGGTTTTTATTTGCCAATCGGTTGATTTAGGCTGTCAGTAAGGGATTAAACAACGTGTCAATCACACGAGGTTTTGCAAAAACAACACACCACAAACTGAATTGATTTAAAATGAATAAGGAAATCGAGGTCACGTGCCTAAATTGTGTCGAATGTAAGTGAAAACGCGCAGTTATGAATACTTTTTGTTTGATTTTTGTTTGAGGGCCACTGGTTTTTCAGTGATTACTGTTCTGTCTTACCCTCAATAAATAAAGTTGATTATTATTATTATTAAAAGAAAGGTGGAAGCGAAAGCGTACAGGATAGAGGCAGCTGCGGGCCGACTGAGGAGGCAGCTTGACCGAGTAGTTTGCGCGCAGGACTTGACATCCGGAAGTCGCGGGTCCAATCCCTGCTCTGACCACTTAACTGGAGTTGTTTCTCGGTTGACGCTAGTTCGACCCCTCGGTCATGCTCGTAGCTTGTAACTGGTCTGCCTAGCTCCCGTCAGTTGGGATTTTTAAGCTTATTACGGTATGTTTTAGTTGATATATCAGTTTCTTTCAGTTTAAGTGACATGCCTGTGAACTAGCTAAGTGTAGCTAAGCCCACTGACCACTACTTAATTAGACATTTGAAAACCACGAAACCGTTATCGCAAGCCAAGAAAGTGAAGGAATTGTTAGAATAAAACTTTACAAAGTTTGTGCTTTCACTGTTCTGCCTAATACTAATCCTGCCGGACACTAGTTTCTCTCGATCAGTACGTACATGTATGTAGTGGTTCCTCTCCGATCAATCAGATTGCGAGTTTGCTAATAGTTCATCATGATCAGTGGTAAGAACTCTCCTCCCCAGAGGATTGGAACATTTTTTGTCTATTTTGCATTAAACATAAATTCCTTTGAGCCCTACTGAGTAGGAGAGAGCAGAAAAACTAAGAAACTTGTGGAAACCCGCAGAGAAAATACTCGGGCCCGGTATTAAAATAAGAGTTAGGTAACGCGGTAAACTAGCCCAAAATCAATGCAAGTACACTGTCCATCACTTTCGACAGTGAATAAAGATCTATATAAGAAGAAAGGAACATAATAACTTGTTCTCAAATCCAGCTGGAGTGCTGGTAGAACCAAACACTTGTCAACCCTTGTGAATAGACATTGTAAACTGACAATAAATGTTCACTTGAAAATACAGCTCCTATCCTTCGTCCATCGCCCATGCTTTTAGTGTTACTCTTTCCTGAAAACTAGAGCTTTAAAGAATTTCCTTCCGCCTTTTATTTTCTTACTGTTCAAAAGCCAATTGTGGTGCGTGCAAAAAGAAAGCTGGGAAGGTCCAACAACCTAATAGCAGATCGTCCACACAATGGAAAACTATTGAATCGTTCGTTGTATTCGCTTTACAGAGTAAACATTCAGGTACAATACTACTTTTGTCTTTTGTGACACTCTTTAGTCTTCAATATATTATCCCTCTGCTCTTAAAACTCAATTCACTCTACATCTCTCACGATGAAAACATATTCACATATTTACACATTTTGAGGTCTGCAATAAAACAGCCTGAGCTATGTACAGTAGTTTGTCGTACAAACCAACGGGGAATAATAGTACAGTTTAAACAAATGGATGTTATGTTTGGTGTATGCTAATAAAGCTATTCTGAATCCGCGTTAATCCTTCTCGTTTGAATGCCGTTAAAATCCAAAAAATCGATCTCACGTTTTTCGCGAGCGAAATACGTTATTTATGTAACGTGAAAATCTAGCTGTCAAAGATTCCTTAATAGTCCTTCTCAATGAAAACAGAGAAGGGGTTTTTACACTGTGTAAATAACCTAAAAGTTATCTTTCGTGTGTGACCTTGTCACGTACGTAGTACTGAGTAAAAGATTAATTAACACGTCCTTAATTGTTTTCTCAAATTTTTGTTCATATGTTATGGAAAGATCTTTGACCGAAAATGTCAAGAAGTCGACGACAAATGTAAATAAATTATCAAGCTATCTGCTATACAGTTAGGTGTATTATCTGGCTTTGCACTCTCTTTGAGAGAAGCTTCCGCATTTCAGTCACAAAATCAAATACACTATAAATAGTTTTCGCTGAGTTGCTAGGCCACAAAAAGTTATCTACGCATAGAAGCTACTTTGAGGTTCTCCACCCGTCCTTTTGTGCAAAAAATCCATGTATCTTTTCCTTCTGTGTAATTTATAGATTTTTAACCGTTCCTCTTCCTCAGCTGGATCATCACACTTTGTAAAGTCCCATCTTAAAGTCTCGTTTATTCGAGTTAAAGTCGACGACGATGCAACGGCCAATGTGCTTGTGTTGACCGCGTTTTCTCGTGAACGCGTTTCGTTCGAAGAAGCTGAATTTGTACAACTTGTTGCGCCGAAGTTTTCTCCACTGCTGCTTGTGCTTCGGCCGTCCGAACTGCTTGTTCGCCAGCTACTTGAAGAAGGATTTTGTGTGCTTGAAGAGCAAGATTTCGAGTTGAAATCGCTTGCAACCTTTTTCTCGGTGTCTGCTCGTGACTTCGATCTTGACTTTCGACGGGTTCCTACGTCAACAGACTAAAGTCAGCTCAAGATGTTTCAAAAGGTTGTAAGTTTAGCGTTTGGCAAGTGCGAATCTCTTTCAAATAAGAACATTCAACTTAATGGCCTTTCTTTTCAGTGTAAGAATAAACAAACAGAATTAATCTAACAAACCTTCACTGGAGCTATCAGCGCCCGAAGCGGGCGTTTTACTGCCGGAATGTCGACTGTTTCTTCCCGACTCTTTTTTCTTCTTCTTCTTTGCTTTAGCAGGTCTCTCTGTTGGCGTCACAGACACCGATTTCTTAGTCTGTGTTGGCATTTTTGTACGCTTGATATGTCAGCCATTCGTCTCTACTCAAGGCGTCCATGGCAATGTATAAACACAAAAGCCTTTGTAATGTAAAATCGTGTTTTCTTAATAGGTCACAATGGTCATCCACGCGCGCGCGTTCACGTATTAGAAAACCCGAGGGACGGGACGAGATAAAATAATTATCTTTTGACCTTACTCTAAGCGATTTTCATGAATTAAGATAGTTTCGAACGGAACAGAGTGGAACAATTTTATGGTTGCATTAAAATGCACAGGAATATGTTTCCTTGCGAATAACTTGATCAGGAAAACTTCTTAACTGAACATATCAGTAACGGTTTCCACGGAAAATTTTAAACTTGCACCGGTCATGGTATCAATTGCGTGAATTTCGCAAACAAAAATCATGTTTGTGGTTACATCTTTTAATACCCTTCAACATGAGCTTTGAAGAAGGCAACTTATCAAAATCAGACCGTATAATCATTTATTATTAACAGTTGTTTTTCTTGACGTACCTCTCCAAAATTACCAATATCTTTCTTCGCCGGCAAAAAGCCTCAAGTAAGAGGGAAACTTGAGGTTTTCAGATAAACCCAAAAAGACCTTCGCTTCATTAAATTCTATTAAATTCTAATTCATTTTCCAACTGATTTCTCTTTTTATATAACTGTTCCCTTAAACTTATCACTACGTCACCGCGTGGTGTGAAGACACTAAAAGTGCGATCAGCTCTTGTCATATAAGCTAGAGACATTGTCTGACCTATCACCAAATTCTCCCATCTAACATTCATAAATGACTTGCACACATTAAAGAGAATTGATCAGTAATTCGAGCTCGGGACTGCAGTTAAGCATGCAGGTACGAAAACCCAAATCTACAAAATTCAAATTTATTATAGATGCGGAGATCATTGGACTCCCAAAGCCGCAGAAACAAGCTTTATGACGGAACGTTCGTTGTCTCTTTCCATGAAGTAAAAATGTCCTCCTGGCAGGACGTGTCTTTTAAAAGGTCCCTGGATGAGTTCTGTCCAGCCTGCGTGGGCAAGAAAGTGCCTAAGTAACACTCAATTTCTCCTTAGCATATATAATAGAGACACGTAGCCATGTTTATCAAAATCCGTGGTTCTAGAGAGTCTAGGCGCCGCTCCTTTTCCACCCACCCTTTGGATTTTGAGCGTCGCAAAAATTTTAGGCTTTCCCAGCTCGACTTGATAAGTCTTCGACAGAACAACGATTTCTCAGAACTTACACTAAAAGAGATATGTGGTGAAATGTGAGGAGAATTAAGTAAAAATTTGACCTCGGGCAAAAATAAATTTCTGAAGGTTGTTTCGAAGCGCTGATTCGTTCATGGTTCGAGCTTTTCTACGATGGCCGTTGTACGGAGCTGACCGTTGTAGCGAAGATTCAGCAAGAGTTAGAATATAAATCAGTGCTTGGCTAAGCGGAAAATTCCTGGGCGGTGGGAGGCAGTTAAATTAATGGGCGTGAAAAAGGCTCTGTAACCGAACCTCGTTCCTACTACTTGTACAGATTAGATGTCTGAAGACTTAAAGGGCAATCATTTGGTCTCTTCTCCACAAACCCGCACGACTCTTTCCCAGTAACTGAAACCAGCTAACAGAAGATGGGTAACCAACGGCATCATCTACGAGCATTATGATCACCAACTTACCGTCTTGGTTGTGTAGATCTTCTGATCCATCAAAACAAGTTAACGAACAGTCCAGGATTGCATTGTCATCAGCTTCAAACCTAGAAATATTTTTAAAGCTGTTAAAAGGAGAGCGGCGAATGAGTCTGTGAAAAGTGTTATGACGTAAGCACGCATCAGCGGCAAGACTTCAGTACTAAAGAGGTTCACGATTTTTATTTCCGCAAACAACTCTTGTTGGAGGGAAAAATATCTATCTTATTTACATACTGCTTGAAAACAGTAAACAAAGGTCGGGTCCACACTACGCCAGTTAAATTGGAAAACGCAGTTTTATTTCTACGGTTAGGCCTAGCTAGCGTCCACACTAATCCATCACGAAAATGGAAATTTTCGAAAAATGCTCTTCAAACCGGAGGGATTTGAAAACGCCGGCTTTGCGTTTTCAGTAGTGTGGATGGAAAACATTTTGAAAACGGAGCTTTTCGAAAACTGTGACGTCACGATAATTATGTGATTTCGCTGCCCGAGTCTTCCTCAAACTTAAATCCAAAATCATGGGCAATTGTTGGGCTTTCAAATTTCTCCAGCGTAGTTTGGGCGGAAAACATTTAGAGCGTTTTCCAGTCAGAGAGAAAACGCCGTTTTCAAATTTCTCCGGGGTAGCGTAGACGGGGCAAAAATCACGACGGCGACCTCAACAAGAACAACGCCAAATAAATACCCCCGGGGGGGGGGGTCCCATATAAAAAGGA